TCTCAGCTATAAAATCATTTTTTTGCAATTCTATGTCCCCTTAGGTATAATATTTCACGTGAAGAGCAAGATAACTTTGCTTACCTATCACAAAAAAAGTGTTCTAACTCCCTTAACACCGGTGCTTTCGATAATGAATTGGTGCCAATTGAAGTGAGTATCATATGGTCAATTTTTGTTTAAGCCCTCTCCTTTTTCACTTACTTTTAATGTAATTTAAAGTTTTTGCGCGTATTGTAAACTTGCGCATTATCAAAACGGCAATGACATAGGCTTTGCCAGTGAAATATTATAGGCAAATTTAACTTTAGATGCCTATATATCAAGCTTTTTTTACTATCTGGATCACGATCTTTACGCAGTTAGCATATTAATTCTCGAGCTATCTTCCATTTCAAATAAAAGTGTGGTGACGAGATTCCTATTTTAATATCTATAGAAGAAAATAGCGGATTCCTCTTGGCCACCCGTTTCAGTTTAGACGTGTTGGGCTTCCGTTTGTCATATGGTAGGCATGGTATTATTCTTACAAATAATTCAGGCCAACGAGTAAAGAAATTTCATCAATAATTGATATATGCTTTATTTTTACACTTTAAATCAAGAATTAGTTAAAGTACTGAGTGATTTAGTTAGTTTATGTTATATTCCAGTTTATAGACATATCCTTATGCATTCCTGTACTGTAAGGTTACCAAATAAGCTATTATAGCCTCAAGTCGTTTGGGCAAAGGCTAATAGCTGTCCTCGATCATCAAGAATTAGTGGCTAACACTCCGATTTCGTAATGCCGAGTGCACTCGTAGTTTAAGTGATGAAGTCTTTAGTGTAAACTTAGGCAAACGCAGAGTATTGCAGTATTTTGAAAGATTACCCCATTATACCAGTTCAGCCTTTCTCTAGGCAGCTCAGCCTTTTCATTTTGGGAAATTTTCTTATAATTCCTTAAATCTTTCCAGACATCATTGAGTGACCAGCGTTCCTATTCATCTAGTACTGATAATCTTAAAACAAGATCGCATAGAAAATATGTTAAGCTTGTTATGTATAGATAATCAATCTTCGGCATAATTATGCCTTCATACTTGTCATCACATCGTAATCTTATATTTATTTCAACTTTTTAATGAAGTATTACATACTTTTAGTTTTTGTAATAAACTCTTCTTGATCTCCTTTAAACTCGCAATAAAGTTGTATTAACCCAGACCCTTAGGATACATTTATTTAAATTTTTCAATAGACGAAATAATCATAGTCATTTCTATGTCTTTAGCCTGATTGATAATTTCTTAAATGCTTTAAAGTCTGTAACATGAATATCACATCACCATTTTCGTTGTTTTCATCTTAGATACCGTCCCCGGATCAAGCATCAATATCATTTACCAAGGATGAGTTTCCTCGGCCCAATACCACTATCGCCTCTCTTGCACGTCTCAAAACAGTCTTTCATGCTACCTCCTCATTTGTTGCGGAGCTGAATTCTACTGAAGGAAATTACACTGAGAAGAGAAACTACTTTCCAAGCGTGACGGCAGGAAATTCCAGTGGCATAAGTGATGGCGCTGCTTTTATACTTCTATGCAGCGGGTCTGAAGCAATTCGTCTAGGTATATCCTGAGCATATAGAGCTCTCATTTTGTTAGTTAATTTGCTTAACTCAGGCTGTACGAAATGCACAAGCTTTCGTAATAAACCTAAAGT